TCTTCGCCCCCCCTAGGGGGCGGGCCCCACACTTTGGGAAAGTCTGGCTTGGGGGAAGAAAGTGTTTCACAGTCTGGCAGTGAGGGCCCCAGTGCTCCGGTACCTCTTGCCAGAAGGCAGCATGGTGAAGAGCGTGTGTGAGGGGTGTGTGGGGTCCTCCACGATGCTGGTGGCTTTGCAGATGCAGCGGGTACAAAAAGTGTCTGTAATGCAGGGAAGAGAGGCTCCAATGATCTTCTCAGCTGTTCTCACTATCCATTGTAGGGTATTGTGATCCAGTATGGTGCAGTTACCATACCAGAGTGTGCAGCTGCTCAGGACGCTCTTGATAATTGGACCTCCATAGAAGGTGGTGAGAATGCATGGAGGGAGATGGGCTTTTCTCAGCTTCCGCAGGAATTAGAGATGCTCTTGGGCCTTTTTAGTTATGGAGCTGGTGTTGAGGGACCAGGAGAAATTCTCCACCAATGAATTTGATGCTCTCGACGACCTCCACAGAGGATCCCTGTTAAGTGGACAGTGATCTCCTTTGTTTTTTCCACGTTTAAAGACAGCTTGTTGACTCTACACCAGTCCGTTAGCTGTTGCGCCTCTTCTCTCTATGCTGACTCATCCCTCTTCCTGATGAGACCCACAACAGTCGTTTCCTCGGTGAACTTGATGATGTAGTTTGAACTGTGCATTGCTGCACAGTCGTGAACAGCAGTGGGCTGAGCACACAGCTCTGAGGGGCTCAGGTCCTCAGTGTGGTTGTGTTGGAGATGCTGTTACTGATCCGGACTGTCTGAGGTGTCTCTGTCAGAAGGTCCAGGATCCAGCTGCAGAGGGAGGTGTTCAGGCCCAGTAGGCTCAGTTTTCCAATGAGGTGCTGAGGAATGATTGTGTTGAATAATGAACTGAAGTCTATGAACAGCATTTGCACATACATGTGTTTATTGTTGAAGTAGGTGAGAGGTGCCAGAGCTGACAGGACTTCAGTTAATTTGGGTCTGTTGTCAGTGATGACTGATCCAACAAACAAGAGATCAACTGCAGGGATTATGGACACTTGGAACAGTCTGAGGGTTTTTAGAGTGCAGATGGGGGAACCTGACCTGATGTAGGTGAGGTTTCAGGGCACATGTACCCATGCATTCATAGGTGCGTCATGAGCCTCACATCCACTGGCCTCCACAAGTGTCCTGGAATCTGAGAGAGTCCGTGCAGGTGTCCCAGCGTGAAGTTATGCAGAAATGTTTAATTGCCAAGTTTAAACTCACACATAGATTCAGACATGAGACATGTGACTCCATTTATGCCAGGTGTCGTGGAAGTTTAACACTGAAAAGCACAGCACTTCTTTAAATACAGGTCATCCTTGACCCCTCAGAGAAAGAGATAGTGTCACCTAAAGACTGCTTCCTGCCTCATCCCACCACTTCCCGAGAGATATTGGAACAAAAATCTCCACCTGTCGAATCCCCCCACACGGCCCCTGGGTGTCTCCAATGTCCTCACGAAGCCTAGTTGAGCGTGCAATAAAGTTGAAACTAAATGCTGTCCCGCATGAATTCAACTGAGTGACACAGAAGCGATATTACTGAAACATGTGATAAATAATAAAATACATTTCCATCACACAGGCATTGTGACTGAGTTGCAAAACGATGAGGTGTTCAGCAGCACCCTGGAGCAGCTGAGAATGGTGATAAAGAGGAGGACTGTAGTTTACTCGGCAGAGGAGAAGGCCCTGATGGTGATGCTGGAAGGAGAGCAAGAGGAGGAGAGGAGGAGAGAGCGGGAGCGCCGAGTGAGGAAGGAGAGAGAGCGACAACTGCAGAGGAAGCACAGAGTGGACTCCATGCTGTTTGGAGGTATGGCTGTGCACGTGTGTGTGTGTTTGCGTGCACAGGATATGACTGTGTTGTCATCCACTCCTGTTGTGTTTGTTTGATAGAGGAGTTCCCAGGCAGCTGTGCCCTGCAGCCCTTCAGAGACTATTACAGCCAGGCGGAGCACTCGCTGCCTGCGCTCATCCACGTCAGGTCAGTCTGCTCGTCACACATCTTTGTACACTTTGCTTTCTCTGTTGGGCTCTTTGTGAGGAAAGTGTAGAAAATATGAATAATAATATAATAATACATTTTATTTATAAGTGCCTTTCAGACCCTCAAGGTCACTTCACAGTAGCACGTGAACAATACCATAAAAAAACATAAGAAAAATGTACATATAGCAAACATGGTAGATAAAATTTAGACATAAACAGTCATAAAAGTATAAAAGCAAATATAAAAACTGAGCAAGGTAAAAATGGCCTAAGACAGATCAGGTGTATGCAATTCTAAACAGATGGGTTTTGAGTAGTGATTTAAAAGTGGTGAGACAGTGTGTGGTCCGGAGAGCAAGTGGAAGTGCATCCAAAGTCTCGGGGAAGAACAACTAAAGGCTCTGAGTCCAATGGTAGTCAGGCGAGCAGGTGGAACTGACAGAAGGGAAGCTGAGGAAGAGCGGAGTGTACGGAGGGGCGAGGATGTGTGGAGAAGATCGGATAGATATGGAGGAGCGAGGTTATGAAGCGCTTTGAAAGTGAGAAGCAGGATCTTGACACGGAGGTGAACTGGGAGCCAATGGAGCTGTTTAAGAACGGCTGTTATATGTTCAGTGGATCTAGTTCTGGAAATAATACGAGCAGCTGTATTTTGAACCAACTGCAATTTATGGATGATTTATGAGGTAAACCATAGAGAACAGAATCACAATAATCCTGACGAGATGTGACAAGAGCATTGACAAGTATGGCGGTACTGTGTGGTGTGAGTGAGGGACGAAGACGGTTAATATTACGGAGATGAAAGTAGGAAGAGCGAGTGATATTATTTATATGTGCTGTGAAGGACAGAGTGCTGTCGAGGATGACACCAAGACTCTTAACCTGAGGGGAGGGTGTGACATCAGAGTTATCAATGGATAACGAAAGACTGGTTGGAACTGGAGTCAGTTTTGATCTGGAGCCTATTAAAATTCTGTTTTATTGCCATTAAGTTTAAGAAAGTTAACCAGAGCTTGATTTCACTTAAACAGTCAGAAATGGATGTGGGTGGGAGAGTAGCTGTGGGTTTGGAGGACAGGTAGAGCTGGGTGTCATCTGCGTAGCAGTGAAACTGGATGTTAGGCTTCCTAAAAATATTACCTCGGGGTAGGAGATAGATGATAAAAAGTAAAGGACCCAGGACAGAGCCTTGGGGTTCACCGGAATTAACTGGAGTAGATGCTGATCTGTGACGGAGTAATTGAACAAACTGTGAGCGGCCAGAGAGATAAGAAGTAAACCAGGCGAGTGCTGAACCATTGATGCCAATAGATGCTAATCTGTGAAGGAGGATGCGGTGGGAGATGAGTCCAGAGTCAGCTGCAAGCAGAAGATCATTGGAGATTTTTACCAGAGATGTTTCTGTGCTGTGACATGAACTGAAGCCAGACTGAAACTGTTCGTACAGGTTATTTCCAATGACGTGATGATGAACCTGTGCAGCCACTATCACTATGAAGGGAGAGAAAATGCCAGCGTTTGTCCTTCAGTCCATCTGTGAAGGATGGCTGACAGTGGTTAAACTGGCATCTAATGAAAACATGGCTCGTGGTCTATTAGATAAATATTATCAGTATAACTGTATTTGGTCTTCTTTCACCAGTTGGCTCTTTGCCACTTGATGTACATGTAGGTAAGTGAGTAGTGGTTGGTGTGTGCAGAACAGAGTACAACAGTGTCCCAGCCTGAGTTGGCTGGGATGTCCACTCTGGGGAAGCGTGGCAGCGGTGTTGAATGTGGATGATCCTTCTCGCTGCAGAATGAAGGGCTTGGGAATGACAGCAGCTGCTGACATCCTCTTCCTCGGCACCGTGTTTAACATACCTGAGTGCTGCAGACCTGCAAACCGGCCAAACTTCTGCTTTCCTCGAGGTGTTCACACTGATGATGATGAGCTAACTAAGTGTGTGTTACTCCCACTCTTCATTCCAGTGGCAGCAGCAAGGCTCGTGTGGGGACGTAACAGCTGCAGTTGCGTCTGGTGTTTGCATTCATCATAGTTTTGAATGTTCCCACATGTATAATGTTAGAAGTGACAGAGAGAGGACTCGTATGGCAAAAACAGCTGTTCAATAAGAGAACGAGCTATGATTCATATACCAGCAGTTTGACTAATAACATGAGTTCTGCCACCCACGTATTTGTGTTTCAGAAAAGAATGGGACACATGTTTGGTGGCAGTAGATCATCCTGGTAGTTCATCCGTTCCTCAGAGCTGGGTCCTGCCAAACCCCCCATCAGACCAGGCCTGGGCCTCCGCCCTGCAGACGAGTGACACGGACTGTGAGAACCTCTGACTGGTCCTCGGCTGCACAGTGCAACAACCAGGTGACGGAGACAAAGATGGCCGCAGCTTACCTGGAGCTTTCAACACGCTTCCATCGACGCTTAGACGACAGGAGCAGCAGTCTCTGCATTTGAAACGGATGTAAGCCTTCTTGGGACAACAGGAAGTGTTTTATCTGTGAGGTGCAGCGTGGAACAGCCCACAGTATGGACTTATGCCTGTTTTCTTTACTCAGTAACAGTTTGTGTTTTACTCTGATGAATTTTCTAAAGACAAAATAAAATGAACAATATGAAGTTGTCACGCAGTTTATTATCCACAGCAACATATTACTCATGGTTCAGTGCCCATGTGTTTAGGAGAAAGTGTCACCTGTAGCCCGACTCACATGAGAGGGGTAAACGCTGCTCGATCACAGAGGTGTGGGCACAGCAGGACGTGTCTGCGTCCTCTGATCGTGTGTTTTCCCAGCTCTGTGGTCTGCAGCAGCTTCATTTCTATTCAAAGACTTTACACTATATTGGTAGCTACAAATACTACAGCCCCCCCCCTTTAAGACGTCTGGTCTTCTGATTAGCTGCCCTGTATAAACATCGGAGCCAAGAGCTGAAAAGGTGTTGATCTCACAGGGATCACGTGTACTTTCTTTGACCTCTTCGGTCATGTTGCCATGTTTAATGATTGTCCTCCACTGTGAAAACACGTAATGCACCTAATAAAGTGACCGGGAGGTAAGTGTGGCCACTATGTTGTTAGGTATAATTAGTGTGTGTTAAGTCCTTATTGACTTCAGAACAGCCTTAGTTGTCACGCTCAAGAACCCAGTCTGACATTATTTGGGCTTTACCTCACGACGACTTATCCTAAAGAAGATGCCTGCACATCAGCAACAAGACTTGGGTAGACTGGCGTTCAACAGTGCTGAGGAGGCACTAAGGAGCTCTTCTGCAGACAGTTTAAAGC